TACAATAAATATAAAAATCAGCAAAAAGTATTATTAATAATAATAATAATAATAATAATAATAATAATAATAATAATAATAATAATAATAATTCAATTACCATGTTTGGTGCATGTCATAATACATACAATGCATTGTTCAGTTTTATGTAAATTAATATTTTTAAGGTAAACAACAATAAAATATATATTTAAAAGTAAAAAAAAACATTTAATTAACATTAACAAAGAAATAATAAATAAATAAATAAATAAATAAATAAATCATTAAATAAATAAATAAATAAATAAATAAATAAATAAATAAATAAATAAATAAATTTAGTGTCCAAATGAGAATGTAATGAGATTTAAAAATATACAAAATATTTATATTTTAAATTAATGCTGCTCGTTTGAACTTTGTATTACTCAAAGGATGCTAAAAATCATGATTTCCACACTTCATATTGTTCACAATCATATGACATTCTTTAGTTTATTGAGCACCAAATCTGCTTAATAGAATCATTTCTGAAGGAAACATTCTCCTGAAAAATGTGCTTTCCTATCACTGTAAATAAATACATTTTTAAATAATAAAAAAACCTTGGTGAGACAAAAAATAATGATTACAAATAAATCTAAATCTAAACAAAATGTGCTAAAATCCAAATCCAATTATTATAATAAAAATAAATAAGTAAATAAATAAATAAATAAATAAATAAATAAATAAATAAATAAATAATAAAAATTATTATTATTATTATTATTATTATTATTATTATTATTATTATTATTATTATTAAGAAATCTATCGCAATATGTATGGTCAACTTTTTAAAATGAATATATTTACATTTATAACGAAAGAGATAAAATAAAAGGAACAAAAACCATGACCATTTTAAGAAACAAATATTTAAAATATACTTTATTTTTCTTTGAAAATAAATAAGTCACTGGCCAAGCACACTCAATTTTAGCATGAAACTTGTGGTTCCTGAAAATAACCACTAAAATCTTTCTCGTGAAGAAATCTGAATCAATATACAGCAATCAATACAAGGATCATATTGCTGACAAGCATGGAATGTATTATGTCATTGTACAATATCAATAATTAAATGAGTAAAAAAGAAAGAAAGAAAAAGACAGTGTCTCCAAAGATGTCTGTGTATTTAAGCATTTGTGAGGTCACACATGTGTGTAAGTATCTGTGTGTGCTTGTGTGAAGTAAATCCCTCTTCCTTTCCAATGCATTCCTCTACATATTACTATGCAGCAGTAATTATCAGAATACATCTACAATCCCACACAGGTGCAAGAAAACATGCGGAACAGCAGACAAATACTGCACACAATCCAACGACTGCTATAACAAAACACAACGCAACATGAGCCCACAAATCACCAACACGCACCAACATTTTAATCGGCCAGGATGTGAGCACAAGAAAACATATCCATGTGGATTAATACTGATATTTATAAGCTTTTCGTGGGCAGAAAGCAAAAGGCTGATGGTGTATTTCTGGCCCCCGCCGGCTGTCAGTCGCGCACATTTGTGAAAGTTACACAGTTGACAATCACCAATCACCATTAGACATCTGCATGCGCAAAGCCAGAGGGAAATCCCTTTCTGGCTTTGACTAAATTAGACCGAGCATGTGCATTTCTTCAAGGTCTCCAACGCATATTATTTACAGCTCGCAATTCTGTGCTGTTTTCAAACTAAATACTCTGCTTGAGTTCAAAGAAAACATTGGGATTTTTAAGAGAAAGATCCTTAGCTTTAAAGTGTCAAGACCAAATGTAATAATTCCGTCGCTGAGATACAGCAGAAAGGAAAAACTGTGTGTTGCACAATCCAATCATTTTACAAGATGCCTCGACAGGCGAATCATACGCGAGCAGTTTAAGCACATGAAACGAAAGCAAAATACAGGACAGATGTTGTGAAAAAGCCACATTTAAGCTTTGTCACAAAACTGTCATATTTTTATTTTTTTACAGAGGGCAAATCCATTATACAAAGTGCAGTGGGCGCAATCCAGTGTAGCCAAACATACGGAAATATTTAACAGGCAATTGGTGCCAATTAACTTTGATCAAGATGAGTGCGATTGGAATCTCCGCGTCAGTCCAATGTCTCAGGCAGCACAAACATTTTCTTTCTCCCTGGTTTTCGTGGCAGGAAAAGCGGAGCGAGGCCGTTGACTAATGAGACTTGGCAGTCTCGCAACAGTTCTCCTCACACTTAAGTATCAAACAAAACATTTCCTCCTCTGCGGGGTCAGCCACGAGCGGGACACTGAGGAAAATCAATGGGTCAGCGGTGTCGGGTTCGGGGATGAGGGAAAGCGGCTCGCCAGCGGTGTCTGGGCACGGGGTGGGTTCAGTTAGTTCTGCTACTTAAAGAAGTAGTTCAGTCAGAATTCAGTCATTCGGCCTGTGGAACACTAAAGTAAGATTGATAAATGTTCTCTTTTAACCCAACTGTAATAATTTAGTACAATAAGCTTTTGAGCCTTAATATATATTTTATTATGATTTATTTATTTTGTGCACATTACATTTAAATAAAATCACGGCTAACTGAGTACACGCCAACATTTTATTTAGAGTCTTACACTGAATAAAAGTATGCAATTTTGACCAGAGAATACCTTGCAATCAGGCTTTTTACATATACTGTAATGCATATTAATATTCACTGTCATTCTATATTCCATAATAATACGTCTTAAGATACTTTAATAGTTACATGTGTTATAAAAGCAATGAAGTTTTTCCTTTACTGAAAATCATGTCAAGCAATTTAATAAAAATGGTACTAGAATGATGAGTTTCTAAATAAAAATAAATTAAATCTGGTTGCTTCAGTCCAGCAAGTGGTCCACTTGTAAAACAATGTATAATGTAAAAGCTACTTTATGTTTACTTTATATAAAAAAGTAATGCACGAATAATAATAAGACAGCAGGGAATTTTTCACAGTTTTTTTCTTCTAGGGAAAATCTTGCTTGATTTTATTTCAGCTAGAATAAAATAGCTTTATTTCTTTTAAGCATTTAAGGTCAATGTTATCTGCCAATTTAAGTTTTTTTTTCAGACTGTCTATAGAACAAACCAACCTTACAAAACAATGACTTGCCCTAACTTCAACCTAATATACCTAGTAAAGCCTTTAAATGTCACTTTAAGCTATCTTGAAAAATATCTAGTAAAATACTGTATTATTTACTGTCATCATGATGAAGTTAAATTAAATTAGCTAGTAGAAATAGTAAACTTGTTGATTTTAAATTGATTAGTTGACTTTACTTAAAAAAACAGTTTACCTGTTGCTTTATTTTTTATGTTTTATTTTTTAAGAAAATTAACTATAATAATTATAAAAAATAAGTTAAATCAACTTGTGGGTTTTATTACTATAAGTAAAGTCAACTTGTTGCTTTTAAGTCAAACAGGTTTTCTTACTTTTTTAAGTATTGCAAATAATAACCATTTACAGTGTAAATTCGCATTTAAAAAATGAAACAGTAGGCTTTGAGAATAAGAACTACAGTTAAAGTCAGGATTATTAGCCACCCTTTTTTAATTATTTCCCAAATGACGCTTAACAGAGTAAGAAAATTTACAGTATGCCTGATAATATTTTTTCTTCTGGAGAAAGTTTTATTTGTTAAATTTCGGCTGGAATAAAAGCAGTTTTTTTTTTTTTTTTTAAACTATTTTAGGATCAAAATTATTAGCCTCTTTAAGCTAATTTTTTCCCCCATAGTCTACAAAACAAACCACTGTTATACAATAACTTGCCTAATTACCTTAACCTGCCTAGTTAACCTAATTAACCTAGTTTAGCCTTTAAGCTGTATGTTAGTGTATTTAAAAATATCTAGTGAAATATTATATCGTATACTGTAATCATGGCAAAAATAAAAGAAATCAATTATTAGAAATGAGTTGTTTAAACTATTATGATAAAAAAATATGTTAAAAAAATCTCTCAGTTAAATACAAATTAGGGAAAAAAATAAACAGGGGAGGCTAATAGTTCTTACTTCAACTGTATTTCCGGTTGTGGACAAATAAATCAGAATGCCTTTCCCAGAACTAAATTTTAGTATGTTAACTGACTTCCAGTAAACAACTTTTTTAACACTTAACTTCAGGCTTTGGAACAATCAAAATGATTTTTTGACAAAGCAGATTTGCTCAATCACTTCATGGTGCATATAGTTTCAGACTTGAAGTTATTTTAACAAGCCTCACAAGTTCAAACCACTAAATGACGTTGCAGCTCTCAAGCAACACCAGATCTGGTCAAACTGAACTCCACTGCTATGAACACATGGAGCGCTGCCAATCATGAGAAGAAGTGACCCCGTCGGTCTCGTTTTCAGCCCTCACCAGGCGGGGCAGACAGACACCTAGATACCCTCTCAATAACAGCCCCCAGGGGCAGATTTTACACTGATCTGACATGAATCAGGCCGAGTGGGCAGAGCAGACCGTGACCAAGAGTCTGCGGCCCAAACGGACAGAGTCACGAAGCACACAGCACGACACGCAGACAGTAAGAGTATGTTCAGAAATATTAGAAGCTGACAAATTGGCCTGGATGGCGGGGAAAGGAGGGGTGGGCCGGTGGTGGGCGCAGAACAGGGAGACTGACAGGGCATGTAAAATTCATAGTGTCCCATGGGCTCCGAGGTAATACTTCACCACTGAGGGACGTTAGCGAGAAATAGGCACCCTGCTATTAAATGGTTGTTGATGCTATGGCTTAAACTTTAATGGACTGCTCTTGTGCTCGTAATGTAATGTATACACTCTGTTGTGACTTATCCACATCTTGGGGCTGGCTTTTAAATATGGCCGCTAAGAAAGCAAGGCTGCTGAAGTAATCACAGTGTTAGGAGACTGGCGGTGAGCTTTGTAGGGGTGAGGTGTAAAACAAAAGGGAATCCCCCTCTTGAAATGCAATAATAAAAACAAAGATGATAGACCTACTTCCAAGTCGTTAAAGAAGAAATGCGTGTCAGCCAAGTTGAAGATCATCTCTTCCATTCTTAGTCCCAATGACACCGACGTTGGTGGATCCTGAAATAAATAATAATAATAATGTTAAAAAAAACATTCCCAATAATATATTTTAATTATATCCAACAATTAATGATATACTTTAAATAAAAAAAATAAATAAAGACAGGCCTATATTCAGCCCAAATATAATTAATTAATTTCTTTCTTTCGCTTTATCATTAGCAAAGCTAAACAGTTGATCGATGGATGGATAGATAGATAGATAGATAGATAGATAGATAGATAGATAGATAGATAGATAGATAGATAGATAGATAGATAGATAGATAGATAGATAGATAGATAGATAGATAGATAGATAGATAGATAGATAGATAGATAGATAGATAGATAGATAGATAGATAGATAGATAGATGGAAGCTTTATCTCTGCTCTTTTGACTTTAGATGTTGAAAATTCATCTCTGCAGTTTAACAAAGTCACTTATTTTGACATTTTAGTAGTTTGAAAATGATATAATGTATAATAAATCATTTTTAGCAAATTAAAATAACAAAAACAGTACTGTTTATTACCGGGCTTTTGTATCTGTTTGCAATACCAACCCAAGTTATATATTACTTCAAACTATTATAAATGTCAATAAAAGTCACTTTTTCAATGTTTAAAATTTGTTGAGGTAAAGATAAACATCACATAATGCAGTTTAAAAGCTTAAATGCATTAAAATTAAAATCATAAAATGCATAAATCTGTTAACTACACGGGTATTTTTGCAGTTTAAATTACCTTGCCCTACCCCTACCCCTAAACCCAACCATCACAAGAAATCTGTGACATATTTGAAAGTCAAAAAACTGGAGATTTTTAACAATTGTGAAATGACACAGCACACCAGGCATGTCTTCATGAATCACATCATTATTTTAATACCTATAGGTAGGGCCAGACAGAATCTGCGGACTGCATAAAATCTGCTAATTTTTGTAAAAGGATTTTAGGAGTATCATAACTAAAAACCTAATATATGAAACAAAAATACCTTTTTAACTTTTATTTAATGTTTACGATGCAAATCCAATTAGACCCACATATTTGGTAAACAAAGCAAGTCTTTCATATAATAGATCTACTAAAAGACAGAACATATTACTTTCTAAACTGTACTGTAAATAAATCATTTGAATATGTCAATGTTACTATTATTATAGCGCAACATATTTAGGTAAGAAAATCCACTGATTTTTAGCCCATTGAGTCTATTTATTTGTGTAAATGTGTATAAATTTATATTTATTCAGATTTTAAATTAGTTTCAGTAATATAAAAATGTTCATATGATGTATTAATATTTTCTGTCTTTTAGTAGCTATATTACATGAGAGACTTTAACAAATAACTGGATCTAATTGGATTAGCATTATAAACATTAAATAAAAGTTAAAAAGTTATGATTTCTTTCTTTTTTTTTTAGTTACAATATTCCCAAAAATAATTACAATTAAAAAATTCTGCACAGAAATAGCAAAAAATGTCCACAAACTCTTGCTCGCCCTAGCTATAGGTCATACCCATGTCATTATACAAATGTGCATAATAAATGTAAACAAATCTCCAAATCCAGTACACACACATGAAAATAGACTTATTTTTACACTTTGTAGGCAGTAAAACCCAGTATAGCTGCATTATGAGTTGAAATGAGCAGTAGGTCAAAGTGTCATCATAAATATATCACTGTCCACATACCTGCTAGCCAATATCATCTTTCTACACATTACTTCTGATGCATTTAACCCTTATTTCTCACATCAGATAAAGCCTTTTTCCAACTATTTCTAAAAGGCTCAAGTTGGGAATTTAATAGAAACTTCTAGGAACAGGAAGATGTACATTTTCCTACTCAAAAAAACGTTAGCAAGCGATGCTTAAACCTGTGCGCTGGCAGTAATCAAAATGGATTACTCACTTAAAATATAATGGACTCCCTTTTTTTAAAATGTGTTCAATGTATTCAGTTTCCACAGTAATGCAATACTGGCAGTAATGCTGATCTCTGACTGACACAAAGATGGGAGTGACTGCTCTCTAAATTGTTAATGAATCAGCCGCAGTGTGTTTTTCTCATTACTAGCTAGTCAACAGTCTTAAGGGAGCACATTATACAATTACACCTAAGTTTACCTGGTTATACACTGCAAAAAATAAATAAATAATAAATAAAATAAAAATAATTATTAAATACACTTTTCATACTTGTTTCTAGTCTGGTTTCTAGTGCAAACATATCCCTCTACCACATATATTATTTTCGTTTCCTTGCCACTGTTTCTTTAAAACTAACTTTCCAATTTTTTGTTGGAAAGAGAAGACCTTAGTTTAGCCAATAATGTGCTTTGATTAAGTCACATGCTGGCAGTGTTTTTCTGTGGCGCGATTTCTGACAGACTGATGTTTATTGTGAGTAGTTGATGAATGTAAATGAAAACATTAATAAAAACAAAGGATCAACTCATGTCAGATCCACAAAAACTCTAAAACATCACCTCCAGTAAGTTATTGTATGATGTCCCATTGACACCTCAAAAAAGTTTTTAAATGTGTGTTAATTAAATGTGTGTTGCCAAATGCTTGCTTAATATCTGTTGATACAGACATTCAACAGACATTTAGATGACTTTAGTACTTGATAACTTACACTAACCCTAAGACCCTGTTTACACTAGAACGTTTTAGTGTTAAAACACAGAGTAGTGTGGACGGATGGCGTAACCGTAGCAAAACGTATGCATTTTAAATCTTAAATGTATTTGTGTAAACGGGGCCTAACCCCAACCCTAACCCCAACCTAACAGCCTACTTTTAATCTAGTGAGAATTAGTTGGCATGTAGATGCAATGTAACTAAATTCAACAAACAGACCATTAAAACAAAGTGTGACCAAACTCAATTTAATTGAGGGCTGGATTTCTATACAATAAATTTGATTTGAGCACAATTAAATGCAATTGAATTGGTCCAACATTATTGTATTTGTACATTTGCATTTTTATTGAACTTAAACTCAAAAGTCAAAAAATATCATGTATGTCTATTATGTGTTGTACATTCGGAAGTCTCCTAAATGAACTAAAAGAGCCAACATAATTCCTCCATATTGTCCCAACACAAAATGCTCAAGTTGACTTAATGGTTCACAAATTTAAATGGACTGAACATAAAAAATAATAATAATAAATTACACAATTTGTTTAGTTTTATCTTATTTTATACAGGTAGTTTGAACAAGCAGCGGTAATCTTTTTTTTTTTTTTTTGAGTGTAGCAAGTTCAGCTGTGATCTTTTACGTTTTAAAAATAACGGTAGTAATATAATGTTGATTAGTTGTATGTTAATGACATTTGCATTAAGGATCAAATCTAATTTTAACTGGCAATACTTTTTATTAGCTATAAATACAGGAAACAGTGTATTAGTGAGAACCACCACGTTCTATGGTAAGTAAAAGAAAAGGACAGAACTGGCTCTTCCTGCAGATGAGAGTGAGAATGAGATGGCTTTAGTGACCATGAGAATGATGCTAGTAATATATTGTTGATTTGTTATATGTTATTGATATTTGCAATATGAATTATTGCATTATTTCCTATTGGACATTTCATAAGAGCAGTGATGGAGACAGTTCAGGTAAGTTACTGTAGCTCGGAGGCAGATGGTATAGTATAGTAAACATTGTTAGCTACAGTAGTAGCTACATTATTTTAATGCATTTGGATATATTAGACTTGGTATTTGCTACTTGTCTAGAAAATGCTACTTGATTTAATGATTTTGAAATATTTGAACTAGAAACAAGACAAGCTAAGTAATTAAAGCATTTTTTTTTTGCAGTGTGTACAGATCATATTGTAATATTTAGTGACTGATCAGTCTAATATGTGAGTCAAATATATGAGTCAGTGCATTTAAAATGACAAAGAAACACTGTATTAAAAGCTTAAAGCAAAGCCACAGGGTTTATTAAATTGACATTTAGGCTAGTATTCAGTTTAAAATCATCTTCTGTAATCTTCATTCCACATGGGCTTATTTTCCTAATCAGCCGTTGTTCATTAAGAGGATGAAACGGAGTGTGTGAATGAGAGAGGAAAGCGAAGCAGGGGATTTATTGCAGTGTGTGTAGAGCAGTGCTGAGTCACAAAGCTCTGCTGCAGGGATTAGAGCTTAAAGCCACCTGAAGAAACGGCTGAGCTTTTTACTGATTACATGTCACACTCAACAATGAAAATGTTTTAACTACGGACAGCAGGAGGGGAAGCCACACAAAAAGAGCAGAACACCAGCAAAGACATTGATGTGTCTATTTAATATAAAAGATTAGTATTAAATATACTAAAATGATGTCAAAATGAGTGAAATAATTATGATCATTGATCATGATTATATATTGATATTTATTGATTATGGCTTTAACACCATTGGCAGATTAGTTTGCTTGTTTTTAAGGGAAAATGCACTTAATTGTGGCATTTTATTAGCTATAACTAAATATAAAAGTTAAAGCGAGACAATCTTTCATGTTAGTCTAGAAAATGCTTCTTGATTTAAGAATTTTTGGAAATCTGGACTAGAAACATTACAAAAAAACTAAAAACATTTTTTGCTGTGTATTATAAATACTTTAAAAATATTAATAATCACAAATGACAGTAAATATATTTCTGAACATAATACTGTTCATGAAAACTTTCTACTTTTCAAAGAATCCTAAAAACAACAAAACAACAACAATGGCAGCTTACAACATACAGTAGAGACAAAAACAAAACAAAAGGCTTAGTATGAGATGTGTAACAAGCTATTACCACACAAAGTACAAAAAATATAAACAAATCAAAATAACTTAAAAATACAACATCTGAACAGAGTCTTTACTAGGGTTACACGATTTACCGGTACTATGGTATCGCGGTACTATGGCTCTAAAATACTGGCGGTGTTACTGTAGTTTGTAAACAGTAGTATTAATGGTTTATCTACAAAACATAATGTTGCA